TAAAGTAATGTTGATGTTGATCCCAGATCTCTCAATAATACAAATAATCTAGTTAGGAATAACCAAATTACTGTAATCTGACGAAGTAAGATATGAAGTCTCAAGAATAAAATAAAAATATTCAAGAACAATTCTGAGCTTCAAAGGTTTTACTATCTGAATATTAGAATGTAAAGCTGTTAGTAAAAGCCTTTCTCTCTTTCAAGCGTACTGTTTACAATGGACTTAATCATCCATTTATACTAGATGATTAAATACTAGAATAACTCTATAGTACTTCTACCGTGTTACTTTCCAGTAAATGGACTATAATAAGTCCATAGTGCTTCTTTCCATCAAATGGACTATTATAAGTCCATAGTGCTACTTTCCAACATATGGACTATAATAAGTCCATAGTGCTACTTTCCAGCAAATAGATTATAATAAGTCTATAGTGCTTCTTTCCAGCAAATAGATTATTATAAGTYTATAGTGCTTCTTTCACATGGATAAGCATTATTGGAAACATGTACTATAATTCCAGCTGTAGATTCGTCATCTCCAGCTGTCATTATTGACATGGCACTTTCATCCTTTATTTTTCAAGTCTTCAAGGTATGGTAGGATGAGTACTTAGAAATTCTTCTAAGTATTAGACTGTCAATTGTATCGATGAGAATGTTTCCTTCATCGTATCATTCATCGATCCTCTGGTTGAATTGTCCATCGGTTTACTGTTCATTCTTCAACCGATGAATGGACTGTCCATCGATGCTCTGTTCTGTCCATCGATGCTCTGGTCTGTCCATCGGTTTATTGTTCATTCTTTAACCGATGAATGGACTCTCCATCGATGCTCTGTTCTGTCCATCGATGCTCTGGTCTGTCCATCGGTTTACTGTTCATTCTTTAACCGACCGCACAAGCGCCCAAGACACGATGAACAAGACCCCGATGATCAGGGCCTTGGTCCTCGTGAGGGGGAGACAATGGCGGCTGCACAAACAGAGCCTGCCCAACAAGAACAACCACAACCATCTCACCCATCACCACAACAATCACCAACACCCCAAGCAACCCAAGCAAGGGAACCAGAGATTGTATTCTCTGATGTTCAACCAATTACTCAGGTTCCCTTTGCTACAGCCCAAGACCCCATCGTTTTGAGTTCCTCAAGCGATGAGGAAACCCAACCTGAATCCCAACCATCAACCCAACCAGAAACCCAAACACAACCCCAACCTTCATCACCCACAAATCAACCTTCATCACCTCAACCTGAACCTTCACAACCCCAACAAACAAACCAACCCACTTCACCCACCAACCAACCTATCTCACCAGAATCCACAAACCAACAACCAACCAATGAACCACAGACCACCCAAACGACCACCACCCAAATCACCATGCAACAAACAGATATTCCCTCCTCCTCAAGGCATCCTCCTCAAGGCCTTGTGGATGAAATTATTCAAAATATGGAGTCAATGAGAAGAAGACCGCCTATGCCGTGCAGGGAACCAGTCATGATGGAAAACATCCATCAATATCTTTATAGAGATCGCGATGAAAGTATGTCAACTGCTCCAGTCTTATCGCATAATCAATGGACCTCCTACACCATCGCTTCATAAGGCAAACTACTCAAGACCCACGAGCGGTCTACTCAGATGATAGTTAGGTTCAATGCTATCAAATGTAATTGAATTCATATAAGTAATTCATAAAAAAGTTATAACTATGAATAATTATCAAAATATCAAATTACCTTTTGTTAATTGGTTATTACAAAACAACTATTTTTTGAACATATTTTAAAATATTATCAAATCCATTGTGTTTTTACGCATGTATAAAGTAGTCAGGATATTTTCAACCCAATCATTTAAAAAACAACACTAAAAACAATAAAAATGGTAAGTTTATTGAACACTAAAAATAATCAACTCCTATCATATGCTAAAAAAACACATTAAAAGCCATATTTAATATTATAGTAATAAACATCTTAATATATTAAACTTTTTAATCAATATATATATACACACACACAATTATAACAACTTAAGATTATACTAATATATGGGGCTTACATTATTAACCTCCAAATATATAGGTCAAAAATATTTTTACCTCCATCTTTTTAGTATTTTAGCGTTGGTTGGAGATGAAAACACATCCATTTTTGTGTTTTTAATGTTGGGTTGAAGATGGTTAACTCTTGCAGGCTATGGCAAAACAATGATCTTTTAATCGACAAACAATTAAAGTTAACCGAWMAATAAACGTTGGGAATGTTACATAATTGAGGGGTGCTCATTTTGTCATTTGTGAAAGATACTTGTCTCTTATTTGAGATGTCGTCTCTCATCATTTAGAACTAAATGCAGTTGAATGGCTTTCAAGTTTCAAAAAAAGKTCAACTTGTTGGTTGTTCAAATAYAAGGTATAATACATGAGAATTGAAAATACGATAATATAATAACAATGCTCTTAAACGTGAATTCTAACAATTAGGATCTCATTCCGATATTAAAACAACTAATCATTGATGCATACACAAATTCTATCAATATTAATTTGTCGTTTTCAACTAAATGATAAAATAAGGCAAATAAGAATCAGTTGATACAAGGAATGTCAAATACTACCAAACATCACAATTATAATTCCCATCGATGACAATCAGACTATGTTTGTTAAAGACTTTATTTCGGTTTGTGGTTAGATGCATGTTTTCACGTATCGTATATATAGTTACTTATATTCGGATGAGGATTAGAAAATACCTTCTCTCTTTGATTTCTTGCTCTTACGGTATAGGTTTCAGTATGAAAAAAAATAACGATCGCAAATCATTCAAATGAGGGTTGAAAATACGTTCCCTCTTTTTCATACATAAACACACTAGTTTTTACTTGATAATACACATACATACAAAATCACCTGTGATAATAACGCATATAAAAACATCGACAGTTCTTTTGAGTTCTTACAAACATGTTAAGAAATGCGTTATGATTTTAGAAATTTATTCCATAATTTGAAAAAAGAAAACAAGAACTTCACAGTTTCAATTCAACAGTTGGTAATAAAATCAAAAGCTAGAAACTAGATTAAAGTTTGAAATTTAGATTGACCAAAAAAAACAAGGGCAAACAATCAAGCCACTTCTGATTTTACTGTTATAAAATTGGGAGAGAATATTTCATGGTTGCTAAAAAATTGTAAAGAATTCGTATATCATTGAGGTTGACTAATGGTTTTCTCAAATTCAAGACCCTCAACTACTATTTAAAGGTATCATCACCACCTTGAAAAACACAAACAAAAACCAAATAGGTTCCCAAGAAGAGCACAAGATCGAATAATAACTCATGGCCCCTTCCGCTTCCTTCTTTTATTGTGACCTCCTCTTCTTCTGTCTTCTTCTCCTCCTTCAAGCCCCACCATGTCCCGCTGCAGGTGGATCGTGGTCCGTCCTCCTCCCAAGCATTGGCATCTCCGCCATGCACATGCAGCTACTTCCCAACGACCGTGTTGTCATGTATGATCGGACCGATTTTGGAATCTCCAATATCTCTCTTCCAGATGGCAAATGTCGGCCCAACTCAACCGACTGCTCTGCTCACTCCGTMGAGTATGATATTGCATCGAATTCCATACGTCCACTTATGGTRCTCACTAATGTMTGGTGTTCCTYGGGAAMTTTAATGCCCGATGGAAGATTAGTCCAAACTGGTGGYTGGGATGATGGTTATCGTGTTGTCCGCATTTATAAATCATGTGATTCTTRTGATTGGCAAGAGATACCAAACGGMTTGAATCAACAAAGATGGTATGCCACCAATCATATATTGCCCGATGGTAGGCAAATTATCATTGGAGTTCGCAGAGCATTTAACTATGAGTTCTACCCAAAGATGTCAACGACTGAGAACTCACCTAGTTTTCCGTTTCTTGTGCAAACCAATGATCCGAACGTTGAGAATAATTTATACCCATTTGTATTTCTCAATCCCGATGGAAATCTGTTCGTGTTTGCCAACAATCGTGTTATTTTATTGGACTACTCCAAGAACCAAGTTCTCAAGACTTACCCAACAATGCCCGATGGTCAACCAAGAAATTACCCAAGCACGGGCTCTGCAGTACTACTCCCTTTGCGGATAAAAAACGGGACCGTAAATGCTGTTGAAGTCTTGGTTTGCGGGGGTGCACCAAAAGGAGCCTTTGTTAATGCAAATAATGGGATATTTGACGGAGCCTTGGATACTTGCGGCCGCATCAAAATATCAGAYCCTAACCCTCAATGGGTCATGGAGACCATGCCTATGGCTCGAGTCATGAGTGACATGTTGTTGCTGCCCAATGCCCAGATTTTGATCATCAATGGCGTATCCGCTGGGGTTGCTGGGTGGGAACTTGGAAGGAACCCAGTTCTCAGCCCTGTAATTTACCAAGCAGATAACCAAGCAGGGTCACGATTCGAGGTCCAAAACCCCAGCACGATACCTAGAGTTTACCATTCCACAGCGGTTTTACTATGTCGTGGACATAAAGATCAAGTCCTTTGCCAACAGAGCTATCAGATATGTCGAGTTCACTGTGGAGAGAGCTCATAGGGTCATAAGCGTGTTCACTGAAAATGACCTTATAAATCTTAACCCATATGACTTGATTGAATTGTATGGTTATACAGCTCAAAGACAGGACCACGACATAAGATTTGGAGTGGCAAACCGAGCGATTACGAAGACAATGGAGACCCTGGTCATGCACAGAGCCAACACATATTTTGAGATCGCTTTCAGGCTAGGCATGGAAAGGCTGTCATGCGCTCCTCCAAACGAAGAACTCCAAGGCCTACAGAATATTCGCTCTGCCTCCATCTTGTCTCAACCCGAACTCGGACTTGTTTACAAGAATGAGTTCGAGGTGAAAAAGCTCTTCAGAATCTCTGAAGCCTTTAAGTATTCAAATGAATCATTTGAATGGTTTCAAAGAAACATTAGAGACAGACTTGGTAGAAGCCATGTGCCGAGGGAGGTGGGAATTCAACTCTTACAAGAAATATCAAAAGTCATCGACTACAGGAAGCTACTTCTGCGCTTTCAAGAAATATACACAGGTAGTCCTTGACAAATTTTTTTTATTTTTATTGATGTACTTTTTACTTCCATTCATGTAAAGAATTCATCAACCAATAAAAATGGAATTTGATGTCTTTCTTTTTAGTTCATTGTATGTTCTTCATATACCTAGTCTAGAATTTGTTATTTCATTACTTAGGGGGAGATTGTTAAACCCCACAATTCATAATGTAAAAAGTAATGAAAAACAACTAAGTGTTGAAGAACCAGAAGACCGATGAAGACATCAAGGTACAAAAGAACAAGTCTGGATCGATGGACAGACAGACCAGAGCATCGATGAACAGACCAGAGCATCGATAGACAGACCATTCATCGGTTAAAGAATGAACAGTAAACCGATGGACAGACCAGAGCATCGATGGRCAGAACAGAGCATCGATRGAMAGWCCATTCATCGGTTAAAGAATGAACAGTAAACCGATGGACAGACCAGAGCATCGATGGACAGAACAGAGCATCGATGGACAGTCCATTCATCGGTTGAAGAATGAACAATAAACCGATGGACAGTTCAACCAGAGGATCGATGAATGATACGATGAATGATACGATGAAGGAAACATTCTCATCGATACAATGGACAGTCTAATACTTAGAAGAATTTCTAAGTACTCATCCTAGCATACCTTGAAGACTTGAAAAATAAAGGATGAAAGTGCCATGTCAATAATGACAGCTGGAGATGACGAATCTACAGCTGGAATTATAGTACATGTTTCCAATAATGCTTATCCATGTGAAAGAAGCACTATAAACTTATAATAATCTATTTGCTGGAAAGAAGCACTATAGACTTATTATAATCTATTTGCTGGAAAGTAGCACTATGGACTTATTATAGTCCATATGCTGGAAAGTAGCACTATGGACTTATAATAGTCCATTTGCTGGAAAGAAGCACTATGGACTTATTATAGTCCATTTACTGGAAAGTAACACTGTAGAAGCACTATAGAGTTATTCTAGTATTTAATCATCTAGTATAAATGGATGATTAAGTCCATTGTAAACAGTACGCTTGAAAGAGAGAAAGGCTTTTACTAACAACTTTACATTCTAATATTCAGATAGTAAAACCTTTGAAGCTCAGAATTGTTCTTGAATATTCTTATTTTTATTCTTGAGACTTCATATCTTACTTCGTCAGATTACAGTAATTTGGTTATTCCTAACTAGATTATTTGTATTATTGAGAGATCTGGGATCAACAGTTGAAAGTATCACCTTGGAAAGGAATAGTGCGTTTTGGAAAGAAAGGGAAGTTAAGTCCAAGATATGTTGGACCTTTCCCTATTATTGGAAGAGTTGGGAAAGTGGCTTATAAGTTAGAAGTTCCTTTAGAATTAAGTGAAATTCATGACACGTTTCATGTGTCAAATTTGAGGAAGTATCTAATAAGTCCAGATGTGGCAGTACCATTACCTGAGATTAAGGTAGATGAAAAGTTATGTTTTGAAGAAACCCCTGAGCAGATTACTGATTATAAGGTGAAAAAGTTACGAAACAAAGAGATTGGGTTAGTAAAAGTTCAGTGGCGTTATCATAAAGGATCAGATGCCACCTGGGAACCAGAGTCGGAAATGCGGATGAAATATCCCTACCTTTTTGCTTAAATGAATTCCGGGACGGAATTCTTTTAAGGAGGGAATATTGTAATATTCTGGTATTAAATTAGGTTTATATATATATATATATATATTAAATATATATATATATATATATGTATGATATGGATATGTATGTATGATATGGATATGTGTGTATGGATTTATTTAAAAAAATATAAATAAATATAATAATAAGAAAAGAGGGGGAGTCGGTTCATGAACCGCCCCTCACTTTTCTCTATGGTTGTGCATATATATATAGTTTTTTTTAAAGTAAGGGACACACACATACACATATTACACTTTGAAATTTCTCTGAAGATTTTGAGGATTTCACAAGAAGAGGAGAGTTTTAAAGGCTTCGATTCTCAATCTTTAAAAGGTGAGTGTTTAGAGCTTTGAATATGAATTGCTTATATATGATCTGATAAGCATTTTAGAACTGGTTATTGTGGATTCAATTGTGTTTTATGTTGATTATTGAGAAATCCGTACAAGTGGTGTCCGGATTGAAATCCGGATACTTAAACCGTTTAAGCTTTGT